ATATATGCATCAACAACAACAAATCAGCGGGGAGCATCTTTAACAAGTTTCAAGGCTTTTTTTGTCCAATGTGCTTCAATACCACTAAAACAAACTGGGTTTTAACTGTTTCAAAATCAGCTCCTGCGAGTTTTGAACAACATGTTTTCTTTTAGGTTCAGGCCAAAATCTTGACAAATCTTTGTGGAGGATGGAAAACACTTCAGAAACACCCCGTTGGAAAAACACTTAACATCTAATGTCTTTAAGTTTTCCAAGCGCAACCAGCTGTTTTCCATGTTTTTGTTTGGCGCGTCGGTGTGTGAAGTGTGATGGGTGCGTGTGGCGGTGTAGCTGTAAAGCAGCGGTCATCTTACAGGGTAATTACTCACTTAAAGCAGCAGTGGCAGCGGCGGGCGGGCGGGCGGGCCGCGGCAGCCCGTGAACCTCTGGGCCTCTGGTTATGACAGCAGAAACACCACAGCTGACTCTGGCCCACACAGCTACATTCCAACCAGGGAGAGCAGAAGAAGAAGAAGAAGAAAAATGAACAGGAAATAAAAAAAATGTAAAAGCCTAGAATCGCTTAAAGGAATAACGCCTTTTATATCAGCATTTAAAACTAAAACACCACTATGCTCATTTGAGCACAATATTTTAAAATGTAAGGGCGTGCAGCATGTGTTAGGAACTCCTAACACTAAATTTTGGGTCAGCAGATTTAAACGGAGCTAATTGTATTTGCTAAAGTCGACTAGCTGTTGCTTCAGTTGTACAGTTTTTACTCCCTGTAAGTTTCATTAAAACCAGTCCAGTGGTTCATTGGATATTTTGCTAACGCAGCAGACAAACACAACACCCCACACGGGAGATTAGAGTGCTGAATGTGAGCGCTGGCGGGCAGGTTTAAAAATAAATCCAGCATGTGGGACAAAGACGGCCCGCTGAAACGAAACAGAGCAGCTTTGTGGAGAGAAACAAAGATGGCAGCAAAGTGAAAAAGATCATCGCTGATCTTTCGCCCGCTGACTTCCATGAGGCTGAAGGTTGTTCCTCGCTGCTGAGAGCGAGGAGAACCTGTGCCACCCTCGTATTTGCCCACAGCGGTGACGTGCTTTGCGGGGTTTACTTATGGTAATGCCAGCTTTGGGTAGTTTAGAGGGTCTTTTATATCGCTGCCAGGCCATGAAGTCTGAAAAAAATTAATAATTAAAAGCTGGGACTCCCAGCGATGATTAAAAACAAAAAAGGAACAACAAGCTTTTGAGCGTCTCTTGTTTTTGCATTTTTTGTTTAATCTGCACAGAACCAACAACAGAACTGGCTGCAAATCATCTCAACTATTGCTCGTGTTTTTGTGCGTCTGTTARCAAAATTTCTCTTGAACCACTGCTTGGATTGTAATGAAACTTTCAGGAAGCAATCAATGGATGTTCATCTACAAACGATTAACTTTTGGAACCAAATCAATTCAAATTGGCCGTCACAGCCAACAAACATTGGTAAACACAAAATGCCTGGAATCCACTCAGTTTTCCACACATTGAGTTACAATTTATTGTGATGGTACAACATTTACATTTAAGTGCTGCCCATTCTTTTTGTCATCTTTCTTTAAAACTTCAGTAATAAGTGTGTGAGGCGACCATGTTTGTCTGTTAGCAAAATATCTCATGAACCACTGGATGCAATTTATTGAAACCCTCAGAGAGTAGTCACTGAATGTACATCTACAAATGATTAACTTTATGAATCAATCCACTTCAGGGTGACTGTAACATTTATTCAATATTAGCTAATGCAAAAATGGATACAACTTAGTGAATTTTACAGGTATTCTGCTAAAACCTGATGTGGTAGTAGCTAGGGGTGTAAGAAAATATCGATACACTGAAATATCGCGATATTTCATTTCCCGATACTGTATCGATATTCTAAAGCCCAGTATCGATTTTTAATTAAGGTTTAAAATGTCAACTTTCCTGCCAGCCGTTCATTTTTATGTTGTAGTTCAGCATCTGACCACTAGTTGGCAGCAGTGAGCCAGMCATTTGGCTCCTCTACCTCTTGAGCGCCAGAGAGTAAGGGTAGCATTAGCATTGTAGGAGACAATGTAAGCATTGTAAGTAAACATTAGCTTTTCGTTTTTTTACAGTAAGAGGTTTTTATATAATAGAATTTTTGGACAAAAAAATCGCAATATATCACAATATATTGCCTTGCTTACAGTATCGCAGTATATCAGGATATATCGTATCGTGACCCCTCTGTGTATGGATCTTATCGCCAAATTCTTGCCAATACACAGCCCTAGTAGTAGCTGAGAGTCATAACAAATACTCTGACATCTTGCAATATTGCAGGAGGCTGTGGTTTTTACGCCGTCATTTCTTAAACCATTGTCCTAGCTTCAACTCTGGCGTGAAAGGTGGCAGATTTAAAGTCGCTTCAGTTTT